TTTACGTCTTCCCCCCCCCCCCCCGCCTAACTGCGAACTACTTGCAACATGTTCATGGTTTTGACACCTACAGTGGATCTGCTATTTCGTGCAATGATAACCGGAATTCGAAAATGTCTGTTTGTTTAGAAAGTACTGATTAAGTAGGATTATCGGGCAGTCTAATTCCAAGATACATCAGTCAAGTCAGGATGCCTGCTTTTGAACCAACTTATTTTCAGCCGCCCGCAAAAAGTTTGCTATGAAAAAATGGCAGTTTAGGTAGTATGCATTTTCCTCATTGACTTTCAGTGCCCTTATAAATTAAGAAAAACATTTTTATAGAAAACCTATAAAACATTATTTCTTCATGTACTTTTTTAGTTGCAAATTACACCTTAAATTTTGCTACCAAACCACAGGACATCTTTCAGTTTTAAAAACTTCTAATTATAAGAATTTTAAGGCCGTCCAATTTATATTTATCAAGCAGTGTATCCTTACATTTATTAATACTGTTTATAAAGTATACAACCTGGTCCATATCCATTTCGTAATTTTATGAGCACAATAAAATGCCATCCTAACATCGTAGAGAAATGCGCGATTTTCCTTGGGCGGAGTGTGCATGGCATGCAGTTTGAGAACCCTGAATGTAATGCTACAAGTCGAGTTCAACGTGATTTGGCAATTGAAAAAGTCTTTTAAAACTGAAAGATACCCTTTCTTATCAAGTATTAAAATTCAAGAAGGCGTAATTTTCTACAAAATGAGTACGAGGAGGAATACTTTCAAGCATCTTTTCTAAAAAGGGATATTTGAATTTATAGGGACATCGAAGATCAATGAGAAAATGCGTACTAAATAAGTAGTCATTTCTTACGGAGTTCAGTTTTTGTACGCGGCCGGAAAGGAGCTCGTTCAAAAGCCGGCATCCCGACGTGACTGATATATCTTGGGAGTAGGCTGTAGTAAAACTCAACTTAAGTAGTCTTCTACTTAGCTATATTAACCCATGCAATTATCTCCCCAGCCAATATTCGGTGCTGAAACTTAGTTGGGCCAAAGCAGCTAGCCCCTGTGTTGGCTGTGGCATGACGGCTTCCTTTTTTTCATATCATCCAGAAAAGGCTACTGAGACGGTTTGAGCACAATCTTCCTCGGTCACCGCATAATTTTATTGTTATTACGCCAACCCATCGGGAATAAGCTAAGAGTTCAGATCAAACGTCTTCTCAGCACAGTTCTTAAAGGGGTATTTGGGTTTTCGGTATTTGGTCTTCGTTACTGAAAGGAGAAACGTGTCGAACACATCTGGTTCAACTCGTCACGCGTGGAGAAGTAGAATCTTCGAAATAATCGAGGCTGATTAGATGAAGGAGGACCACACCTCTACCAGGTACAAGTATAAACAAGGAATGTCAACTGCGAAATCAATGAGACTGACCGCATCAGGAGGGATCACACAAACACAATTGAAATTACCAACTAAGATTCCACTGCTGAGTATCGTGTTTTGACCCGGCCAGGTACTCAGTACTAACACGAACCGTATGCGTGCTCGACTACTGTCCTAACCACCAGCACGCCAGAGAAACAAAATACGATCGGCCACGAGAAAATGTATCACAAGCAGCAAATCATTCTTGCTGAAAAAAAAACGCCGTGTATAGCACCCCATTCCGGTTGGCTAATATTCTGTCCAATCCGCTTCAAATGCTTTCTTATAAACATGAACCAACCAGATCCCAGGGGAGCACTGTAGCGCGCATCTGCTTTTCTGTGAGATAAGATGCAGATATTCCCAACACCTCAGTGCCGCTTCTGGCGGGGCTTGACGTGTATCGCCTGTGCTGTTCGACGCACACGATTTGTGCAGTTTCTTGGAAGCTGTTTGCGGTCTGTAGGCAGGCGCGGAGTCATCAACTCGTGCCGAAAGCGGCCGAGGAGGAAGAGGAGGTACAGCAATGGGTTCAGAAATCGGCTGATCTGTTGAACTGTCGAAAGTGTCCAGTAGGATGTCGACAGGTAATGCGATGGCACTTATTCGGGTCTGGCTGCGTAACGGCACTGTCGCCGCCATTTCACAAACAGTGCGCATTTACTCATCTGTCTTGGGTCTTTTGTTAAGTGGATAAGGAAGATTCGGATAGGTTCACCGAGTCCTCTTGCGACAAGTGTATGCCCCAGTTCATTCATTAATTTCAAGAATTTCAAAATTGTGAGAAATTGTACCTTGCTGAAAGTTGGTATTATATATTGTTCATTTGAAATTTTTCTTTGCTGTGAAGTCTACCATGTAGCCTGTACGGATTTCTATCGCTGTTTACAAACCGTGCTGTTTTTGCCGCGGGCTGTTTTCCATCAGCACTAGGAAAGATTCGTGAAGACGCTCTTCTACTGAATACACACACTAGTCATTTTAAAGCTAAGATGTGACGTGAGCACATATTGTTTTAAAAATATATTGCAGTCATTAAACAGTTTTAAAACCCTACTCGTTATATGTACTCCTAAAACAGATTACGAGAAGGTACCCAAAATACAAGAATTCTTTTCTTTAGCCCTCTCCTGCCAGGTACGTATACAAGACCTGAATTGTGGTCATCGTAGACTGGTTGCTTTATCATGATAAGGCACCTGCCCACACAGCGTTCAAGATCGACCAGTTTTTTTTAAGGAAAAAAGGTATGACAACGGTTCCTCATTCGCCTTTCTCGCCCGACCTTTCCTCAGTGACTTCTTATTCCCTAAGAATGAGGAAAAAACCCACAGGCAAAGCGTTTTCGGAAAGTAGAAGAAAGTAGAAAAATATCGTTGCAGGGACTTAACAACATCAGTCCGGAAGAATTTAAAAAAATGTTTCAGTGGTGGAAAACCCCTCATCCAGTGGACGGTATTTCGAAGATGATAAATGCCTTTTAAGATTTTATCTTCAATAAAAAAGTAAAGTACTTGTAGTTCTTTGGGTGCCCCTCGTGCCATGAAGAGCGTTCTGAAGGTGAGGATGCGATCGTTGGAACAGGAAGTTTATTGGCCCGGCGTTTCGGGTTCCCCCTCGAACCAATCACCCTTCCTGGAAATCGCGTGTTCGCCTCTATCAGCAATCTGTTCGGGCGTGATGCGCTCCAATCGGCTCGACGGCGGGAAACATTTGCCCTTTGAAAGTCTTATACCTATGCGTAGATTCGGTTTCTGTACAGGTTTCTCTACAATAATGTGTTGTCTAAGTGTCTTTCATACAAACCTCCGATTAGTAAAACGTTGTTGAGATGAGCAGAAGAGTATTTTGTTTAAATCCTGTGTTAATATTAACTGTAGACGAGATAAGGGCATCGAAAATGGAGAAAAACAAGCAGTAATTAGACAATCATATTCTGCGATTGGCGTTCAGCGTTGAAAGGATCTTGGATAGAACATAAGCACATTCCTATGTGCGCATTAATTAGTGGCACATTTTCTCTGCTAAACAAGTCGGACCGAACTCAAAGCTGCATTGACTCGTGGCATGCCCTTAACTATGCTATGCGTGTGGCGCGCTATAGGTGTTCTGTCAACTCATTCTCATTTGTAGTCGGTTGTGCTCGGACAGTTTACTGGTGCATGGATAAGACCAATATTTACATTGAATACTCAAACAGTCTAAGTTTGTCTTCTATTTGCAATACTGCCCCATGGATCAGACGAGTTCAAACATGCATATCTCGTACTTTACATACTTTTATTTTCACACC